GTATCGGCGCGGCGGACGGCTGGAGACGAGTCCTCCGGCGGTTAGCTTCGACTCCCGACGGCTCCTCGTGAGAAGCAGCATCAGCGGGACACACACGCCGAGCCTGTCACTCTCACGCACTCTCACACACACGGGTTTTCGGATGCGACTGCACCCGCGCGCGGGGAACTGGCCGGGTTACTACTGCCGGCGCTCTCTCTTCGCTCCTCGGAGGGAAGCGGGCCGAGCCACTCTCTCTCCGGCCGTTCGGTCGCCGTTCACCTCCCTCTCGCCCTCTTTTAGCCGTGTCCAGGCTTGCGCCATGCGAACCCTCCCCGACTGGCTACGACCCTCCACCCGGATCGATATCACCACCACGAAATCCAGCGGCGTGCGAGCTACCCTCCACCTGCGCCGTTCTCTATCTCGCCCTGTCCTCTTCTGCCAGCGCTCCCTTCTCCTCGCCGGCCTCTCTGCCCTACCTACGCGCCCCTACCTACCGACCCAGCTGCACCCTTTGCTTCTTTTCCTCGTTTTCTTCCGCGAATCGCCCCGACGCTGATCGTCCTGCTGATTTCATGAGCCTTTTTCCCCGTTTTATTTAGGGGATCGGGGATGATCGGTCGGCTCCCGTTGCGTTCCGCCGCTCGACGGACGCCGCCGCTTTAGGAGACAGGTTTAGGGGATCGTTGAACTTGGATTCCGGGGGGCTGATTTTATTTTCCGCTGCCACCCGCCCGGCCGCTTCCCGTGTTTATTGGCCGATTGTTCGCGTCGCGTTTGCGGCGGATGCGCGAACACGGCGTTTGTCGCGGATGGATCGGGCGCAGCGGTTTCGGTGATTTTTTTTTAATTATACCTTCGGCTCGAGAGCCTCTCGACCGGCTCGCTGCTTTCGACGAGGGTTTCGTCGCTTCGGAACCTCCAGTAAGATTGACTTTTTCAGCAATTCATTGTTTACCTTTCCGAGCGAGCATACCGTTTTGCTTCAGCGTTTCGGTCGAACGTACGCTTGCTAGTCAACTTTTCTACTCTTTGCGCTGTACGAATAATATTAGACTTCGTACCGAGGTGTACCGCTTTATTATAGATACGCGATTTTTCATTACAATTCGAAAATATCGACGCAACGATGATAAAATATATCAGAAAAGTTGAAACCAAGGATTATCGCGAGAAATTGAATTCATTTCCTCGTTACTTACACGAAGAACCTGCACCTTGACCCAGATTCTACGTCTTGAGGATTACTACATAGAAAACATCAACCGTGTCACCGTTCTATCGACAAGTTATTAGACAGTTAGTCATTATTCCAATTCCGATCGGCGTTTCCAGAATCCGTTCGATTGTCGCGTTTTACGCATTCGTTCTTACATGTTGCTCGCGTGCGGCGATAACAGTGTATCTAGACAGTCATTCTTGTCACGAGGGCAAAACATGTTTATTGAGTCATTAGATAGGCAGTAAAAGTAGAAAAAAGACGATCGTCCGTCGATCCGACGATCAATTTCGCACCAGTGCTCGCCCGTCAATCTTTCTCTTATTTACTCTTCTTCTCGTCGATGGGAAAAAAACGGTGGACGCTGAAAGTCATTCGATTGGTCAAGGCAAATTCTGACCGGCGATTTCGTCATCGCCGAGCTCATAACTATGGATGAACCACGGTCGAGGGACTTTCGGCAGGAAATGAATCTTCCTCGTCGACGGAGGCTGCGAATTTACAGTTCGCGGAAAATCCCGCGATGGAAACTCGCCCGAAAGGGACAAATGAAAAACTCCGCTTCTCCGTCTAGTCTCGTTTAATTATCTTCTCGCCGTAAAGGTATGAAAATTTCGGAATCGCGCGAATTCGAGGAACAGGTTCACGCTACAGGCGATGTTCTCTACAATCTCGTTTTTATAAACATCCTTATTCCGTAACGCAACATAGTAACAAGCGATACGAAGGTTCCCATTAGGTACAAAAATACAAAACACAAATGACGCTCGCGTTAAGTGGATAACGGTGTCCGTGAAATACGATTGAACACCAGTCGTGACTAATGTGTCATCACGGATGTTTTCTCTCCGCTTCGATAAAAGTCTCCTTTTATCTCTCATTAAAGTTTAGAGGCGAGCTGCGCTTTATCGAATGAACGTTCTTCATATCGGAATGGACTTCGCCACAGTGATTACATGAACACAATAGAAAATCTCCGATACAAACGAAATCCTCTTCAATTCCCTTCTCCATCTTTCGCTAACCAAACCGTGGACTCAAACGATACAATTTAGAAAGTATAATTCCCTTAAGTGCAATGGAGCGTCTAAAAGCATTCAAACCAGAGCGAATTAAAATTCTCTCTGAACAAATCTTCGTTCCCCCGAAACTCTGAATTTTCCGTAAAAACTCCACAAATTCTGGTCAAGCGATCAAACATTGTCACGTTTCGGTTAACGAAAGATGCGACGGTGATCCACGGATCATTTCTGGACAGACTGGTTCAACTGCTTGAGGATCTCCTCGGGCACGATGTACCCGAGCTGCTTCATCTCCTCGACGATCTTCGGGACCTTGCTCAGGCTCTCGATCCACTTGTAGTAGGGCAGCTCCTCCCGGGTGCCGCCATATTTCTTCGGCAAGTGGGTCGGCAGGATGTGCTCGTGGAGGCTGTCCATGTTGCTGCCGTGGAAGAATATCTTGTTCTGCATCCGGACGTCCAGCAGCGGCTTGAACACCGCGAACATCACGTCGAACACCCACGACTGGTGGAGGATGTGGATCGCGTGGGTCTTCATGGGGAACGCGGACACCATCAGCGCTATCACCATGCTGGCCACCTGGGGAACGAGCGAACGAGATTGAAACCGTCGCAGATACTCCGCTTACCGGATCTCTAGGGTTAATTGGAGCTCGTCGCTCCTATTACTCGAGACGCGCAACGGTTTTAATTTAATTCCACGTGAATCCTCGAGGAGCGCAGACGATCAGCGGTTCGGCGGCGGAGGGGTTGAAGAGCCGGCAGAGAATTTGGAGGGAAATTAAGCGAGTTTGAGGAACTTCGCTCCGGGACGTGTAATAGGAAATTGATGGTCTAATGGGGGAAGACGCGGCGAAGGAGTTGCATCTTTTCGGGATGATCGTGCGAGAATAGCGGAGTGGACATTCATAATGAACAAGAGCGGAGGGTTCGTGTTCGTCTGAGTTATTGATCAGTTATTGATTAGATTAGAATTCCCTGGCGAAGTTGGAAAGGAAGTGGGGAATTATTGAAAGTGATCAATGAGAGGCGACGGTATTTTAGTAGCCTAGTGATAGGTTAGTCATCTATTAAAACGGAACACTTTAACTGCCATGTCGCCCGAATTCGAGCGACGCCATGTTTATGTAAACTTAAACGTTAATATTCTTGTTACCGAAAGAACTGAATATTGTTGGGTGTATGAGACATAAAAAAGAGCAATCGTCATAATCTTGGCTTTTTCCGCTTTATTAAGACTGTTTCGAGTGCATGGAAGTTTTGATGCGTTTACTTGGCAAAAGTGTTAGAAAATAATCAATGGTCAATAGAGAGTTCAGGTATGCTTCCAAGCTATCAACTAGTGCATGGTTCCTTAAAATCGAAACTGAAATAGACAACTATCGAAGACGATGAAAAACAAAAGTATCTGGCGGATGCCCAGAATCACCAAAAAAAATAATCCAAGAGGCTCAACGACGCGATAAGAACATCCCAGCCCACAGGCGGGAGCCAAGAGGCACGGACCGAAGCGAAAGGCTGATGAAACTAAAAAAGACCACGGGTCTTGAGCGTGAAGGAACATTATTCCGGTCGCGTCATCTCTAACGAGGGACGAAGATGCACTTCCTTCCTATCGTTGGCGCGGACCCCGTGCGCGCGGGGTGCAGGATCGGCACGATGGGGTGCCGAGAACGTCACCGCATCCGTTTCAGCGGCGGTAGGCGACGCGTCGGGGTCCGGCGCGTCATCGGGAGCGGCTTCATCATCGGCGGGTGCCGATGACGCGGCCGGCCGAGGAAAAGTTCAAGTCGCACGGAAGAAAAGCTCCCGGTCGGCCGGGAACTTTGCGGATCGTTGAAGTTTCAAGGGCACCGTTAGCAGCGCGCCGACAACGCACAGCCACTCGACTAGATTTCGCGGGGGATGAATAAATGTAACAGGAGGTCGGCCAGATAAAAGGAGGGACTATTAGTTTCAAGGGCGTTATAAATGGTTTAAGTTTCAAGAACGCTGAAAGTAGATCGATAACCGAGATACCGGGCCGAGATAAATTAGGGGCCGGGGGGTTTCCTTTAATTAAACCCTCGTTACAGTGGCACTCGCCGGACGGAATCCGAGTGCCTCTGTCGGTCGATTGTTGTATCGCTGTCCGGCTGAAATTCGCCGATCGGGCGATTGCAATTGACAGGAATCCGTGGATATTGAATATCAATGGACGGGGGGCGGTTTGTGTTTAGGGAATGAGAATCGGGATTTCCAGGGCGGTTCTAATTGTTTTTGGGGATGGATGTGATTGATGGAAATGATTATTCCAGGAAATAGTCGTTCTTGCGTGCTGGTGGATTGCGAATATGTTCATCGAGCTGGTTCAGCGTTGAATTAATTAGCTGAGTTGAATTTTCATCTTCGAAACGAATCATTTTTCAGTAAATGGATCAATGTTTTTTACTGAATTCAATGATTAGAAGTAACCACAGAGGTCTACATTGTTTCGTTCTAACGCCCTCCGCCATCTTGGTAATAAGGAAACGACGCGACAGTCGAAATTTCGAAGCACATCAAGAGATCTTGCGAACCGAGCACTGAATTATGTATTACCGAAGCTCGCGAATGTATTCAGGGCAGCGAGAAGTGAAAAAGACGTTTGGAATTCATAAAATAGGCTACCTGTGGAGTGATTGTCCACGCGTGGGACATAGTGATGCCCTCCAGATCGAAAATGGCGACGCCGCCCATGATTTGCGCCCTGGGCTCCAAGACGCCCAGCTCGAGGATGATCACCGTCGCCTTGAAGATCTCCTCCACGGGATATTTCCTGGGGTCCCAGTTCCCCAATCGGAAGATCATCATTCTCCTGCCGCAGTTGGTCCTGTACGGCGGCACTGTCATCACATCGTCGTCCCCGATGTGGTTCATCTCCACTGGGCTGACATCTTGATGGATCTCTGGGTGTTCCTCTTTGAAGTTGTAGTAATTCACTATCTACCGGAAGATTCAGTGAGAGAAATGCACTTGACTATTGGTCGTTAACGAGTTTCACAAAATTTTATATTCAAGATTGAAGGGTATTAAACAGGGAACATTGTCGATGGGAAGTTTCCGCGAATAAGGAAATGATGAATATTGCAACAAATGTTACAGGATTCTCGGCGTTTCAGCTTCGTCATTGTTTTCCATTCAATCGTATTTAAAATATATAACCCATTGACTTAATAAGTACAAGAAAAATATTATTCATCGTCGCTTTAATAAAATGGCTTGATTCTTTGAAGAAATACCTGAAGATCCCAGCTGGAAATATACGAATCGCGTGTCTTCTAAGCGAAACCAGCGTTTGAAACGTTTTAACGTCGTTCCCGTAGAACAACCCGCTTCTACGATCCAACGAACCCAATTTTCGGTGCGGCAACAAGAGAAAAATAATAGAGACGGGTCAGTTCTGACCGGAACAAAGGAAAACCGGCCGAAAGTTCGGTAGAATGAGCACCCTGTGCAGGATGGGAATCAGGATCCCGGAGTTGCGAGCGGATATCCGGGACAGGCGAATAATTAATGTCACCGTAAAGGGGAGAACAGCGTGGATGAGCCGCAAAAGCGTCCTTTTCGGGCTTCCAGAGGAACGTCGAGCCAATTATTCGAGCGTTCCGCTTTGCCGGGAAGGAAGTCTCGCGGATACAGGGAAATATTAAAGCGCACCGGCGGCCGGAACGTAAGCGGGTATTTTAACACGTTGATTGCTCAAAACTTTCACATGTAGAACAGTGCAATGATAACATTGCGTTCGCCTACTGCAAGTATGCGCGTATTTGTTGAAACCGTGGACAGAACATCGATAGATCTAACAATTATTTTGCATTCTCACGTTCAACCTCGTTCGAATCGAAGAAACTCATTTTCCGTCTCTCGGAACCGTGCCAAATATTAAAAATACGAATTCAGGAAGCATCTTTTATCATGATTCTTTGTTTATACCGAGGAAGCTTGCAATTTTCTATATGGAAATGATAATAAATTCATTCAGACTACGCTGTGTATCGCAAAAGTTGCTTAACTAACATTTGTTCCGAGTTGCCGCTTTAATTCTACCTCGTCCTTGCCTCGTTGCTTTTGCGCTCTTTTTTCCCGTGTCGCCGTCGTTTCCGTTGCGTTTGCACAGCAAAGACAATATTATTATTATGGATGCCGGTCGCCGATGACCTCCACGACAGCGAGCACGTTAACGATCGTGGAAACGGAGAAACGGTCACGGAAACACGAGCGCGGCACGGAACGCGAGCCGTTTTTCGAGCGAACAAAGATTTTTACGGAAACGGGCGGAGTAAACCGTGAAATCGGTCGGCCGGCAACGTTCCCCGCGATTCGAGCGGCCTCCTTTCGATCGACGCCGGTCACGTGACGCTAAAAGTGAGCCGCGACCGATCGATACGCGGAATAATTGACTGCATTAAGCAATTAACGCCCGCGTTCGCGATTCAAGCGCTCGCGGAGGGCTGATTCGATCTCTAAATGGTCTTCGGTTGGAACCTCGCGAGTAATTGTCCGACTACCGGGCCGCGATCGGTCGATTAAGGTCCTTTCAAAATGGAAGTTTTTGCTCGACCCCTCCGGCCCGGCGGATCGCCGCCCCCCCGGGTGCAAAGTAAATTAATTTGAATTGATCGAAATCGAGGTGGGAAATTATTCTCCGTTTAATCACTTCGCTGGGAAGCAACTTTGTTAATTGGCATAATTAATTTTCGGATAATTAAATTCAGCTACTTGGTAATGAATTTTCGAAGCCGATATTAAACTGAGGCGCTCGGAATATTCAATTTAAATATTTGGAACGGTTAAATAGACGTTTAAGATCGACCCGTGAATTTCGTTATTTAATGGAAACTGAAGGATAAATATATTTCGAATTTGTTTGCGCGCACGATATTTTCAGAAAACGTCGATCGCATCGGAGATTTATTTAAAATGCATCCACGCGTTATATGGATCTTTTAAACGCCTCTTATTTCTGCTCGACGCACGAACCGCTCGCTTCGGGTTATTTAATAATTTCCGGAAAGGTCATGAGTCTAAAGATCCAACGTCTGACACCTGGAAAGGCGCGGTGCATTCCTGGAACGACGTCTTTCGTCAGTATCCAGTTCTTTTCACCTGGAATCGTAGAGTGTGCTCAACACCGGACCAGAATTAGAAATTCTCACGTTTCCGAACGCGAAAGCTAACTGTTTATAATGGTGAACAACCGTGGGACAATTTGGCACGCGTAGTTGCACAACGCGCGACATGCACTTGCAAATTGGAAACTGTATGCTGTAGTTATCTCCGATAGATGAATACTAATTGCTCCAAATTTTTGCCTCCAACGTTTCTCTCGAGCGAACAATTTTAAATAGAATAATTCGATTAGAATAGATTATTGCTCTTAACCACTTGCATCAGATTTATTCAAAGCTGTGCTTCTCTATTGACACATTTCACAGTTATATTATTATACAATTTTCATTATTAGCGAAGAGGATAGACGTTTTCTATCAACTAACCCAAAATTTCTTTCGAAATGCATTTCAAACGAAACACTTGAAACAATAGAAAATTATCGAAAAGGAAATGTAGAAGTCACTCAGAATAAAGGGTTAATATTCCCTTCGGTCGAAAAATCAAAAATAAAAGTCATCTTTCTTCTTATCGATCGAGCGGTTCGATTGGAACAGATTATCGCTTTTAATAATCCTTTCTGCCAACCAATTTCAAATAGAATCCTGTTTTTATCATTCAAACGATCCGATTGGAATAGATCATTGCTCTTAATATTCCCTTCAGTCAAAAAATCAAAAATAAAAGATATCTTTCATCCTGTCGGTCGAACGATTCGATTGGAATAGATTACTGCCTTTAATAATCCTTTCTGCCAGCAAATTTCAAATAGAATTCGCCTGTTTTTATCATTCGAACGATTCGAAGCTCTCGAGCGGAAAGTGCCCAGGCGAATAAGGCAGCATTTTCGACCGCGCGAGTCGGTTCGCCTTGGCATGGTTGTGCAACTGTTGCAACTGGTCTCGTTCAACGGATTACGCTGCAGTTGCAAACGATCCGGCTGGTCACGGATCCCCAGCCGTGTTTGTGAAAAACTTCATTCTTCGCTACGAGAACCGACTCGCTCACCGACCTCACGTTGATTACGTCAATGCTAATTATCCCGTAATTGGCGAAGTAACGATTTAATGGAGACAAGAAAATCGTGAAGATTGTACACGTCGAATATATCATTATCGGAGCTTCATTATGAATCCCGAATGACTGTGCGTATTACAAATGATCATATAAGTTTAATGTTTCATGGAAGGTATCTTCAATCGATACTTTGAGGAAATATTAAGATAATAAACTAGTTTCGATTCTGAAACAAATCCTCAGCAGAAATTTGAAGAATATGTATATGCATCATGTTAATATTTTTGTGTTAATATTTTTCTGAGATAATTCTACTTTCTTACATTAACAGAGAAAAGGAAAATGCAGAATTGGGAATGAATTGTTGTAAGTAAAAGAAAATATTCGATAAGAATTTGATAAAGATACCATTGTGCAATTATATTCCAAATTTCCATTCGTTTGTTAAAAAAAGAAACTGGAGCAACACGATTGGAATTGTTACTCCCGAAAAATTCGCGTACTGTCAATCATCCTTCCAAAATTTTTACAACGCTCCCCGGAGTAATACTACACAAACTTTCGCGCGGTTGTTACGGCACTCGACCGACCGCTGGAACTACTAATGCCGAGTTGTTTACAGTGTTACCACATTCATGAATAATTGAGATAAATGTCGACGCGACGCAGTGTTTCTGCAGCGACGAGCAGCATGCTATCGCGCGAACCGAATAAAAACTCACTAGACGACTAACGTCGGTATAGCAGAAATATAAACAAAAAATATGTGGCTAGGAAAATCATCGATTGTCATTGTCAAAGAACATTCAGTCATCTAGAAAAGTCATCTATTTCTCTTAAGAATATAAATATCAAAACATCTCGCGCTCGTTTTCAATGCAAATGATATCTTTTCTTGAATTTTTATCGATGTAACAGAAACATAAACAAAAATTCAATATCGAGGAAAATCATCGGAATTCATTGTCAAAGAACTTTAAGTCACCTAATTCCTCGTCATCTGTTTCTCCCGAAAATAGAAATCTAGAAACCTTTCACGCGCGTCCGCCAAGTAAATTATATCTCTGTTTGTTTTGGTTTCTTTACGGGAGAACCGTACGAAGAAAGTAAAAGGAAATTATGGGAACAGCTTAAGCTGTAATTGCCCGTAAAATGGGATTTTTATGACACGATCGGTTGCGTGTCGGGATTAATTTAAGAGGGATACGTTCGGTTAGCTATCATTGGACCCAACTTACCAATCTGTGTGCCCGATTGACGTTGAAATTTCTAACCCTGAGGAACCTGATGAGAAAGTCATCGTCCATTCTGTGCGGCAGGCACTCGCCCCTTTCTGTCAAGCAGAACGCACAAGTGAGACACACCCCAGGGGACGAGGTACCATCGGTACCTTACTCAACTCGGTTAAACCACTAGATTCCACCATCCACCATTCCATTATGTTCAACCAGAATTCAACTCTGCATCAAATTTTAAACGAATTAAAAGCTACGTAACTCTTACAAGTTGATTATTCAGACATTTTACTCTTATTATTCAAAAATTATTCAATTGCTTCGTATCAGTCATTTATCATTTCCAGGTCCAATAATTCAGCCTTATTAACCAGCACTCCAGGTTGTTTTGTAATCTATCGACTACAACTAATTTTTATAGTATTCCTAGCGACAATTAGAAATGCACATTCCTTTTATTTTCCTTGTTAGTACAAAGTTTGGATGTAAAATCGAATAATTTTAGGATAATTTCTTTAAGATTCATTAAAATATTTAATATTAGAACTGGTGCAATATCGAAGCCTACAGAGTTCAAAGGGTTAATATCGAAACGTTCCCAATTACCACGCGTTCATTGAAATCAGCAGTGAATCTCACAGTATTAACCCTTTGGACAAAGATCCTTCGAAACATAAACCTTCAACATATGAAGCTAAATTATACATCAATTGCTTAATTAATAGAATCAAAGAAAACTACGTGCTCTCTTACTGTTCGACTAATTAGATCATTTCTCTACGACTTAGTCTTCCAAATCTGAACATTTCATCTCACCAAAGGGTTAATCCAATAATATATAATTCACCAACGAATTCAATCAATCAAATTCCCTCAATTCAAACCATTCCCAGCCAACCGTCACTCCCTCCGAACGATTCAAACAATCTCAACATTCACAGCTCAAACCCTCAACAACCTCCACCTACTGCAAGGTTATTAATACGCAGTTCATTTCCACATAGCCTATTATTATATGCTCCATTATTACCCTCTCATTAAACAACCCATTACTATACTCTATTATTACACACGCCACCACATACCAACACCTCATCATCTATACAAACATCACCGAAAGCTCACACCATCCAACCTCGAGATCCCAAACAGCCGAAAAATTCTCGAATTACCATAAATCATATCGCGTAGCTCCTGAATGGTCTGACACTTGACCTCCTCGGTCTCGCCGAGCTCCCTCCTGGCGTACTCCATCACTTCCGGCGAGGGTTCGCCGGTGTCCAAGTTGACCTCCTCGTCATCAGGCTGCACCTGGTCGTCCTCGGGCTCGGGCATCCCGGTCAGATCTTCCAGGCGGCCCCGTTTCCTGTCATCGATCTTCTCGCCGAGGAGAGGACGATCCTCGCCGATCACCTCACCCTTGTCGTACTCCAAGCGATCCTTCTCGGCCGGGATCACCGCCTCGATCGCGTTCTCGTCACCCTGCGGCATCGTGCACCCTCGCGTCATTCACTGTGCCCGTCACCGAGCCGAGCAGCTCGTTTTTTTTCCCCCTCGAGGCGAACGATACCACGTCATCCGTCGACGGACCGCGTGTGCAGCGTAACCTTCTGCGTCGGTCGCGATCGCACGCGGTTCTAGCCGAGCGACAGTCACCGCCGCCGCCGCCGACGACGACGCTCAGCCAGTTACTATTAAAACACCGCCGAGAACTGGTTTCGCTTTTGTCTTTTATCCGCGAGAGCACGCGACCGCCTCCTCCGCGATACTCGCTTTTATTCCCGACGCACGAACCGCACGATGATCCGAGATCCGACAGTTCCTCCTTTCGTGACAGGCTTTTAAGGTTGGATCCAATATGGCGGCTCGCTTTCGGGGGGTCGACGAGTTTCTCAGATGTCGAGAAGCTTGATTGTTCTGCTCGATTCGGGGTTAAGGACGAATGACAGGTTCAGATGATTCTTTGAAGCGTGTGGTTTGACGCTAGAACTACGTAGCAAAATGGTTTCGATTTTTTTTTTCTTCGAAGCGTTGAATATTCGAGATGATTTTGAAAGTAGTTCCATTTGAGTACTGTAATGTATGCCTGAAGAGACTGAAGATAATCTATTGTTACAGTTTTCATAGGAATTGCATATTAATCGTATTAACTCGTTGCACTCGGGAAGTGACTCTCAGTCACCACTTGATTTGACACAGGAAAACTATAAAATATGATATTTAATGTTGAACTTTCTATAACGCCTCCATACGTGAAATATTGGAATAAAATAGCTTTGCTCCTTAACATACTTGTGTTTTCTCTCCGAGTTAATTTCAAAGAATATCCTCTCTGCTTCGTCAAAAAATGTTAAATATTTCTAGTGAGAAATTTCCGAGTGCAAAGGGTTAAATGCTCGGTAGTTCTAGTGTTAATGAATTATTCGGCTTGCAGACGTGTGATTGGGAGTTCGGCTGGTTGGAATTGTTCAAGGTAATCGAGGCTATTGTGTCACTCTGAGGAATTGTTTGGTAAATTAGTCCATTAGGTGATGTAAAATGGTTGAAATTTTGACGAGGAAGTTCGACAATTCCACTGTTGATTATTGAAATATAATCAGTTGCGTAACCGAGTATAATAAGCCGATTATTACAGTATATGATTATAGTTCTCCATTATTTTTTCGTCCAGTCGATGACTTAAAGACGCTTGCCGATTCAAGAGACCGTTTTTGCGCGAGTGCCGAGGAAAAAACCGTGGTTTTTTGCGACGTTATGTCTGCAGATTCGAACTAGCCAATGCTCACGCGGCGGGAAAAAAGTCCATCAGTCATTAATGAAGGCTGATCTCACGGCAACGGCAATGCCAGATTTGTTTGCGTCTTTTTTCGGTCGAACGTTGAATATTGATGAACCGCGGCGCGCAACACATGACCGAACGGATCCTTCCGGTTTCGGCGAGCCGTTTTACTCGCGCAGCGAACGCGTCGGACTGACAACGTTCCCGCGAGCGCCGCCATTCGTACGGCACCGGGGACAATGCAGCGGCGCCTTTCTCTCTTAAAAATGCGCTTCGCCAAGGCCGGCCGATTTACGAGCGGAACACCTTCGCGTGTTTTTTCGGAACCGTTGAGTCATCGAGCCTCGCGAAACATTTTCGATCATCGCTTCTGTCGCGTTTTAGAAACCTTCGGCACCGTTGCTAGGGAGATTTTGAGAATTCCCGAAGAGATAATTCTATGGAGAATCTATGGAAGAGTTAGTTAATTACAGTAACGTAAGGAAATTTGGATAATTCGCAGATTCAACTGTGCAACCTGTCGCAGTACACGTTTTGAATTTCCTCTAATAATTTTAGATAATAGTCTTAACTTTCCTATTAACAATGCAGCGAATTTCTTATTGCTCGCAAGCAAAATAATTTAAAATCAAATTTATTCTACATGAAAGTAATCGAAAGTTTCAAAGCAAACTTCCCACTTCCCTAAATCAATGAAACAATTAACACCTTGTATAATGACGAGTTAATTTCTGTTCATATATTGATATTTATCAATTTCATACTGCACCAATTTTCTTACATTCACGAAACAAAATTCGGCGCAAAGAATTAAAGTCCAAATCTTTACCAAAACCAAAGCACTCAAAGATAAATCTTCATGTACATAAACGGAACATTGGGAGAACCGAACACAATCGAAGCTTCTCAACGACACACCAATCAGCAACGTCGACACCCTCCGAACCCCAGAAAACTACCACATACGCCACCTTCGAAATCCCATTACGAAAACCCAAAGACTTCACGGTAACATCCGAACAACCCGAACGCCTCGCACCAGTTCGCCCGGCTACTTCCCTACTCGTCCGTCGAGGCAAAAACTCGTTGCCGGGGAACTTTCGTGAAATTTCTCCCTTTCCCGGTCGTGGAAACGAGGGTAGAAACGCGTAGCAACGGTCAAAGGAAACCGCGAGTTCCCCGTCGATCGCGGGGCCACGGGAGCAGCGACGCGGCGCCGATCGGTGATGCAACTGGCCGCAGCCGGCGGGCCCGGCCTCGGTGCATCGAAGCGAAATGCACCGCGGTTTCCCTCTTACCAGTCGGCCCCGGTTTCGCGCCACCTTACGTCACGCTGGGAGCATCGGCTGAATTTTCCCCAGGGTCAGCGGCGCCCTTTCGTCGACCGGTCGCGCAAAGATCGTCGGCAAAACCTCGTCAACAGATTGCGAAACCGAAATAACAGACGTAAATTCGATACACGCCTCGATTGGAGCGCTCGCCTGCGTTCGAGCGAGTAGGTTTCACGATCGTCGAATCGGCTGAAGTTTTGCCAGGGTCAGCGATGCCCTTTCGTCGACCGGTCGCGCAAAGATCGTCGACACAACCTCGTCAACAGATTGCGAAACATAAATAACAGACGTGCATCCGATACACGTCGATAGAGCGAGTAGGTTTCACGATCGTCGAGTCTGAATCGAAGATGGACAGCTGTCGCGATTCGCTAACGCTGATGATCGATGAAACCTTTCCACCGATTCACCGGTTAGTCTGTATCCTGAAACTCGTTTGAGCTGTTTATTTGTACGACGATTGATGCTGCAGTGGCATTTTGGTTGAATTTTTTCTATTAGTGAGTTTCATCTTGACATTTCGGTGTCTTGAGAATTTTGACATTTCGTGGAGAGGAATTCTTGGGAATAATCTGTCATCATTTAGTGGTTGGGATTTTGTACATTTTATTGACGGGAGAATGATTAATTTCGGAGTTTCTCCTTGGAATTTATATGGTGATTAACAATTCTTCTCGGGTTTTCACCTATCGGAGAGTGCGAGTGGTTCGAGGAGCTGAGTCTCGGGAGATTTAGCGGTTTCTTATAAATTTCAATGAGACGGGTGTTAAACTGACTTTATGGACATTCGCGGTGATTATGTGTCCGTTTAAAGGCCTCGCGCTCGCGTTTCCATCGGACGTCGAAGTGTAGAACGAGCTGTGTAGACCGAGCGGAGTGGCTGTTTAGATCCGTCGAAGTGGCCATCAAAGTCCTGCGGAGAAGAAACTGCACGGACGGTTCCGCGGGCGCGGCGCTAATGGAGAAAGTTTCGTGGGCTGGACATAAACAGACCGGCGGCTGCATAAATGCATTAATTAGCCGACACCCGAGGAATATTTTCAAGGTCAGCTGATTGAAGCGTTCACTGGTATCGTTAATCCTCGCTTCAGTCTCTCGAAATTGGTCTGACTTCTATTTTTCGAGTTGCGAGAAAAATGTTGCGAGATGTTTTTCAATGAATTAAATAGTAATGTTACTAGGTTATTAATGATATTCATTATTTATAATTAGTGATAGCGGTAGTTGCAATAGTAATGATAGAAAAGGCTTTGGTGATTCTGAATGAATTAAATGGTATTGTTACTAGGTTATTAATGATATTCATTATTTCTAATTATTGATATTGGTAATTGCAATGGTAATAATGGGAAAGCTTTCGATGTAGTTATATTAATTAGATATTGATAATGCACTGTTATTAATAACATAAATTACTGATTATTAATATTAATATTAATAATTGTAATGTTAATATTAAAAGATATCTCACAAGAGATAATGACACTATATACTCACAATACTGGTAATGCACTGTTATTAATTATATAAGTTACTGATTATTAATATTAATATTAACAATTGTAATATTAATATTAAAAGATATCTCGCAAGAGCTTCTTATCGTCTATAACTCAGAAATAGGAGTTACTATTATTTCTAGCCACACACTCGTTAGTACTCCATCGTTGGAATTAATTGAAACGATTCGTTTCCCTGGAGAAACAGCAACTACTCGGCTAATTAGCAGTACTCATATGCATAACGATCTTATTAGCGGTGATCGGGGAAAGAACAATAACGTCGGACGTAACTACAGAAATGAAATGCGAATAAAAACGATCGAAAGTGAACTCTTGCGAAACACACGATGAACATTGGCGATTTTTAAAAGAACGAGTATCCATTGTTTTAGACATAACTCTACTGTTATTCATCGTCTAAGCCGAACTCTCGAAATTTCTAGAATTAATTAGCATCCATAATCATTGGAAAGTATTTTTTCCGTTACTCTAACACAGTACAAGAACTAAACTAAATTTGATATATACTATTGAACACATTTTTCATTTATTCTAATATCTTCGAAAAACTTCGAGCGTTTCACTGTCCACTAAGAAGGATTCCCAAATATAATAAAATAATAAAAACCTTCAAAATTCTCGGATTGTATCAATTACACAATTTTCTCCGACAATCCCAACTACAAACGCCCGAAAAGCTTCGAGCGTTTCGCTGTCCACTGAAAGATTCCCAAAGCGACTGCAACCGTCCGCCCTAGTATGTAACGCGAGCAATTAGCACAGATGCGAGACGTTCGGCCATCGAATTCCATTCGAATCGAAGTCCGTTCTATAATTAGTAGCCCATTATCGAACGGTAAAATGATACATAAACTGCGGACACCGTCGCGGATCGCGGCGAGCGCGTTACCAAAGACATCGCCGCGTTGCGAAATGTGTCATGGTCATCCTGTTGCATCCACGGCTCGATGCTTTCGCTAACGAGCGCGCCGTACGCGACTTTTGTTGTGGGTGGGAACGGCGGCGGCTCGCGTCGCACGTGCTCGCCGAGCGAGAAAGTAAAACGCGAACGAGAATCTCGACGCGAGCGGAACGGGAGCGCTTCTTTCAGCGAGTTTCCGCGATTCGCTACGCGCGCCCGCCGTTCGCAATTAATAAGGTCCATCGACGGTGCAAGGACGATCCAATTTGCGCCGTATTCGAGAACCAACGCGAACAGATTCGAACGTTTCACGTTGAACAGTTATTAACCCTTCGCACTCGAGAGGTGACTCTCAGTCGCCACTCGATTCGATGCAGTGTAACTATAAAATTTGATATTTAACCGGTTAACTGTGTTCGACGAGTATACACGTCATCTTGGGAGTCTTGATGGTGCTAACTTTTTCAACGGTGGATTATTTATTTTTTGAGACAAACATGTAATTATTCTTCGTTTCGAGAGTCACCTCTCGAGTGCAAAGGGTTAATATTGAACTGTGCATAATATATCGGTGTATGAAATATTTGGGTAAAAAAGCTTTGTCTCTCAATTTACTTGTGATTTTTCTTTGAGTTTGTTTTAAAAAATATTGTCTTTGTATAGTTACAAACCGTTAAATATTTCCAGCGAAAGGATTAACCCTTTTGCACTCGGAAGTTTTTCAGTATTTGAACATTTTCTGATGAGATAAAATTGTTTGAGACTAATTTAATAATTCACAGATAAATTAAGCAACGAAGCTATTTTATTTAGATATTTCACATTGCAATACAAAGTTTCATTTAAAATAGTAAATATTCAAGTTCATGGTTTTGCTGTATCAAATCAAGTGGTGACTTGACCTTTCGAGTGCAAAGGGTTAACGCATCGCGTACCGGCTAATTATCAGGGAATTAAATTGTGCGGATTTCCAGTGAGATCCACTTATATCACTGTCTATCAAAAAACTCTGGTATCATATTGTTATATAATGTATTTTAAATGGGCGATTAATTCTAATCAGATTTAATATTTCCTTAAATGCTGCGGTAATTATCGAAGTTGTATAACTAAGAGTCTTTATATAAAAACGAGATTTCTCGTTACCAGTACGCAATGTGTTAATGATTCCACCGATCTAGAACCGTGAAACTCAATTAACAATCACTCGGAACGATTCAGTGAATTTTATATAAAATTTATATTAAATATCTTTGATTATATCCTCACAGATGAAGAAGATACATTTCATTGGAGATCTTAATATCTCCATCGATTTTTATTAGATTTCTCGGTTTCTTAGAATTCCACTGAATTCAAATCGCTTTAGGTAAATTAGACAATTTTTTAATTTATTAAGAAATTTTAGAATGTACATTTATGTTCGAAAATTTACTTGAAACTTTCAATCTTCCGATGTTTGAAATGCCTGTTGAAATATTTGATTTTTTTATACGTGTGTATTTTACAGTATGTCTTATTAGATCTGAATCTTCTATGAATAAATAATTTCATACTGCTGTTGTCACAGGGAGAATTGAAACGATCGCAGTGATTCTTGGTTTTCACGATATTTCATAACTCCCCATTGATCGTGCGCGACGCGAAGGACACGCGATTCGTACGTTAGCCAGCGGGAGCTGGTGCGTGCGGTAATCTTTTGTTACGTTCGTTGATGCAACCCGTGGGGCAGCATAAGTCCGTCTGATTACTGCTTTCTCTGTCGTTGCGGACGATGCCGCAATTCCGACGCTTTTTCCGCTCGTTCGAGTTCCAGACGTAACCGGTAATCATTCGGCGAGTAATCGGTCTCAATTTCGCGGCATTTCGGACGCGTATTAGACACTCGTGGGATGAAATAACCGTTGAACAAATATTTCAACCGAGAAACATTGTGCAAGTGCTGTGCCTCGAAGTGTAGAAACAAAACGTTGCCGATGCTCAACGAAGATTATCTTGAATATCGTCGAAATACTTCGAAGTGGCGGTTTTTAGAATTATATTTACTTTCGTTGGAATAATTACTATATACGTTTGTAGATAGTATTTCCACTTTTGTAGTTATTATACTTTTCATTTGGTTTCTTGACTGGAGTGAATGAAATTTAGAATTGGTGAAGTGGTATTTAGAAATTCGAGGGAAGGTAGGAGCTGAAGAAATAGAAGTTGATAAATGAATAATTGGGAACTCAAGAATAGTTGAAAGTTGAAGAAAAACAGAAATTAGTGAATTAATAAGTAGAAATCTCAAAGAAGTTGAAAGTTGAAGAAAAGCAGAAGTTAGTGAATTAATAATTAGAAATTTCAGAAAGGTTGAAAGTTGAAGAAAAACAGAAATTAATGAAATAGTAATTAGAAATTTCAGAAAGGTTGAAAGTTAAAGAAAACAGAAATTAATGGATTAATTAAACGAATAATAAAACTTAAAACGGAAGATGAACGTAAAAATTCAACAACTTAAAAATAAAACTGACATATTGCAGAATCCAAAGGAACAAACATTATCTCGACACTATCTTCTTCACATCCTAGCTCAAAACGATCGTCTCAACTCAAACAATAGTCACTTAGAATTCCCTCTGCGTTTGAACTGTTAGTCACCGTTTGTTCCGGAGAGCGAATTTTGCCGGTCAGAATTTGTTCTACAACGACCGTGGAAAATGTTGGCTGTGAAACGATTCCGCTTGCGCGCGATTTGAAATTCAAATCGCCGCGGATCTCTTTGAAAACTGGTCAACTTCTTCAACGAGGAAATATGGCAGATCGAAACATCCGCGACGCGCAAGAAAAGTTCAAAGAAAATCATCGATTATTCATATCGTGGTTATTACATTTATGACAGGTGTTAATGCATTGCGCAGCATGTAACCTTCTTTTTCTTCGCTGCCAGCAAATCTGTAAACTTCCAACTTCGAACTGACTGTTACAAAAACACGCTTGTCGCGTTCTAAATTCAACTTTGACATAGTGTCAAAACACAGGTCGAACAGGTTTGAATTTTACCATAAAAAAATAGTGTACTTGTCAGAAATCGATTATTTTTATATGGTCACTTTATTTGAATTATAAATTACAATATATAAATAGATCATTGGCTCTCTCTCTCTGAGAGCAGTGACGAATAATTTTCCAAGGACTGCGCAATGTCATTGCATTGGATTCAAACTGACTACCAGGTTGACCTTTCGATACTCACATATGTGGACACATTTATTCTCTTCTTAAATGCTCGTTCATTACTCTGATTAAGACTTTAACATTCGAACTTCACTTCTTGCATATAAATGACAGCAATTTCTTGGACGTGAACATAAACAAATTCAAATAAATTCACGTTTCGATCTGAACCGAGGTGTCTATTTATAACACTGCATAGTGCTAACGATATGTGTAACCAGCAATCTGAGTAATTATAGCTGCGGTACGAGTTACCATCAATCATTGCTTAATCAAATCTCTCCTTGGAACATAAACGATTCACACAAAAGTAGGAAACGGCTATATTTTATCAAAATTAACATAAAAACCGGTTGTCGTCGCGTCAGTATCTTCATCTGGATTATTAAGTATCATAATGTTGTCAGTCACATGTTGCAAATCTCTCAGGAAATTATATTTCATCTTAATTACTGAAGGTTACAGAAATTCCATTTTTGAAACAAAGACTGCCAGTTCTAGAGAGAATGAATTATGTTAATTTAGTAGTGTCAACGTATGATTTACACCATTATGATTCTCCATATGATACACCATTGAAATTTCAATTTTTTTGTTTAGCAATTATCGATATATTCGAAGCGTTGAATATTCGAAATGATTTTGAAAATAAATAGTTTCATTTGAGTACTGTAATGAATGTCTGAAGGAACTGAAAATAATCTATTGTTACAGTTTTTATAGGAATTGCATATTAATCGTATTAAATGCTCGGTAGTCACTGCCATGTCACCATAAAATATCAAAAAACAACATTTATTCGAATGAATTTACTTCGATTTATTTCTTAAAGAACATAGTAAGAAAATTATAATTTTCCTCTATTTATTTATTCAGTATTTGGGAGTCATTGAAATGTTACCTTTAAATGGTACAATTGAGATACTACAAATAAATACAGAAAAAATGGTTAAAACAGGCAGAGGTTGCAATAAAATAGAATGTCGAGTCTGATTCGACATAAGACTGCTAAGGATTAAATTGAGGGGGTCAGGCAAGCGCGAAAGGAACCGTACACCAGAGGCGCAACCAAATATCCAGGACAGCGAGCAGAAATTCTGACGATGTCGCCTTGGGTACTCACCTTGGTCCTCTTTGGCTGGTCCTCAAACAGGCTGATCCGTCAAGGACGAGTCGCGGTCCAAACACCGCCGCGATCCTGCGTGCACTGCGACCACCCGAGAACCCACTGGGCCGGTTTCAGGCTCCTTCCGTGTTCGCACAGAGATCGGAGGAGTCGAGAAAGTTGCAGAGCCGCTGCGGCACAACCGCTTAACCCAGAGTCAACCGAGTCGTCGTCCTCCTCCGTCTAACCGGGATCGGATTAGGTCACCGGAGTGTCCTCGTGAGTCTCGCTTCTTGCTTCTTGGATCCTCGGAGCCCTCTTCCGCGGAATATGGATTCTCTGGATCGTGATTCACTCGTGGAACTGGAGAATTCTAATTGAACTCGGGGAATCGTGATCGGTGTTTAATGGTCTTCTTGAAAGAAAAGATGTTGGTTGGTAAAGTAGTATGTTGGAAAGAATTTTTTACGTTTGCACTCCGAACAATTTTTAATGTAACCTTTCAGCAAATACGAAACAGTTTTAATGTGAGCTATCAGCTACGAGCGTGCCGCTGTAAAAGATTTAAGACCCTGCTTTGTCATTAAAAATGCGCGTGTACGTTTTAAAGTTACGTTTGTCTAAAAACGAAGTTATAAACTTATCTTACAATGTCGCCGCAGTGACGACAACAGAGTGAAAAGGGTTAAACTTTTACGCTCTTAAATTTAAAAATTTGAGAATTTGAGAATTTGAGAATTTGAGAATTTGAGAATTTGAGAATTTGAGAATTTGAGAGCTTGGGAGTTTGAGAATTTGAGAATTTGACAATTTGACAATTTTCGAGTCTTCGAGTCTTCGAGTCTGCCAATCTTCAAATCTTCAAACTCCAAATTTCTTAATTAAAAAAAATACTTAAAGAATTCTTCGATACAAAATTTCTACCTCTCTTCTCAACTACTTTCCTTTCCCCATTTGGAATTCCAAGTTCCATTCACCACAAACAAATGGCCACAAAGTTTACTCGCTATTTCTCTCCGACGTAGCAATTTACTTACCATTACTACGATAAATATTACAAGCCAATCCGACTTGTAAACGATAGGTCCTCCACACAGGGCAGTGGAAAGTTGCCGAGCAGAACGGTCAGCGACGCAGTCCGAGGAAATTCAATGAAATAAAACGCGACTAGTCTCAAAAATTGTTCAGGCCACGCGACAAGATTCTTCGACCAGTTCCGCGGCGTCTGGAAAGGAAAGAACGCGGTGAAATGTCGCGTGATAGGGTGAAAAGTGGCGGGCACAATCGCGATCGCGTTATCGAACGGAATCTGCCGGGTGAATGGTTCATCGATCACCTTTTACTAGGTCGAAGAAAGGGAAACTCTTACTTCCTGTATGCTCGCGACACTACGCCCGTGCGCGGTCCGTGTGTCGGCGATCCGGCGGTTAGAAAAATTCCATGATTTCCCTTTCTACGGCTCGGCTGTGAAACCAGTGCCGTTCCGGCGCGCGGAACGCGTTACCGCGACACAACAGTCGCGCGATTGAATGTAATTAAAGAAGCCGGGTCCCGCGGAGGATCGGTTCCTCGCAAAAAGATTCATCGATGCTGTGCAATTCCACATGCGCGCGGTGACGCAATCAGCACGGGATACGCCGGATTATATAAATACACTATTAAAAAGCCAATTTCACTTTCACCGCGGCACAATGATGGGAAAAGAAAAGATTCAACTGCAAATTGAAATCCACACGGATCGTATTTATGAAATTTCATTCGATCCGCCGGCTATTAAACTCGCGGGAATTCCATTTTCGACCAGGAAAACCACTTAATACGTGAAACCTCCGAGCTACGCGTCGGACTCGAAGAATATTTCGAGTAAATATCAGACTGATAATCGTCGTTCGTTAGTTCGAGGCAGGATTAATTGATTGCCACGTCGAATTTCGTTGAAATCGCGGAAAGTTCGATCAAAGTTTCGTTCGTTTTTCAGAAATTTTCGATTTCTTCGGAACGTGTGATATAATACGCTTTGGTTTAGCAAATGATTATTAATGCTTCTTAATTGCTCGTTAGAAGGTTTATTTCTGTGGAAGATAATAATCCACTAATGATTTACTGGCTTCCTCGACGGTATAGACGGTAGAACATGCATAAATTACGGGTGAAAACCGTCATTAGTAAATCTGCTCGTTGATTAAAGTATTAAACGCCTGAAAAACGTCCTAATCGATGTGATAGCAGCAAGAAAATCGGTATCACCGATCGTCGATCGAAAAAACGGCGGTATTGTGAACTTGAATAACGACGCGGGAGTGGCGTTGAGGTATTAGCTCGGAGAAATCACGCATCCGGCTGTTAAGATGATAATAAAACTCGACTTCAGCTCAGTGATTCGGACTTTCTCGGTCTCGGCGGATTAATCGACAATTCCGTCGGCCGATCGCCGGTTAAAATAGAAAACACCGCGACGGGAAAAGAGAACATTTCGAAATTCCCACGTTTTTTCGCTGTCGCAGCGCCGCCATTTTCTTTTCTCCCGATCGGCGGGCCGCGACGATCGTTTCGCGAGCAATGGAAAATTTTGGAAAACTCGGCCGATCGTTATTCATGGCTCGTATCCTTGGGCACTAGAGGAAAACTACTGTTCCTACGTCAGTAACGAGAAAACGTTTATCTTTCCGTTTTACGACGACACGAGCGGCGAATGCAAATGCGATTTGCTGGCTACGTGGCTTACGCGTGGTTTTCTGAATTTCCTATCCTCGACTATTTCGAAAACTTTTGGAGGCATTGCAATCGAAAGATTCAATCGTCAAAATAACAATTATTTCAATTATTAACACTACTTTCATTCTACTTACTAAACCGCTCATAGATTTATCTAGTTCTGTCTGCTTCCTGTGAAACGATAACTTCTACAACTGTAAATCACATTAATTTCTAGCAGTTTTGTCTAGTATTAATTAACATACCCTCTAAATCTATAATCTTTCGGATAACCGTTCCAATATTATAAATTATCAAAGAATTCAGCGTTAACTCGATATCCAGCGCCCGACAATTCAACACGGCGCAGGTTGAGAACCACTGCTCCCGCGGAAAAAGATAATATTATTCACGGCGCTACTTTATGTTATACTGTTTGTCGTTACGATTTATGTTGTTGTTACTATAATCATCAAGATCGCGTACGTTAGCTGCGATTGTGCATAAATCCAAGCTCGGTTGTATGGGTAACCTCGTTTTTCTGCCGGGAATTGTTGCTCGAAGGGCAAATTGTTCGAGTGTTTTTCAAACGTCGGTGCGTTCCTTGTTGACAGCTGCTCGTGCAGAAGTTGGTGGCGCGGAAAATTTATGGTACAGGTCAAATGATCCGTTGGATCAGAGGTTTCGTGATCCATAAATGCCGCGAATTGGACTTTACATCGCGCCGCGACGTTTCGCGCGCTGTTCCGCGTCCACCTGGCCGACGGGTAATCAGTCCAAAGGACGACAGCCGGATGTCCTTCGCCGGTTCTTTATTCTTTCGCGTATTTTCGCGCCGACGTCCGCGCCGCTCCCGTTCTTTTTATTGCACGCGCCGGACCGCGCGCGGGTTAAATGAAATTCTGCCGCGAATCACGCCGCGCGGCGCGCGAGAAATATTCCGCAATTACGCCCGCGCTGCGCGCCATTAATCGTCCATCTCCCTGTAATCGCGCGAATAAACCGAAGATTATTAAGCGCAAATTAGTCGGAGCGTACCATACGCCTTTTACGCGCCTGTTAATTGGAAGCGCTCGACATTGGTTTCGTATCGCGTTAACCGCTTTCGCTGGGATTTATTTGTCAACTGCTGTCCATACAATTACTTACTTTCTCATTAATAATTTATTGAACGAAGGGAAAACTCCTAGGCTTATTAGTGCTTACGATTATGAAAGTGGTCTGTCATATTTTTGTTCTGTTTTAATTCGGTTTAAAATAATGCGAAATAACTGATCACTATCGCGATTATAGGCACGTACAACCATGTTTGATCTGAAGCGTAATGATTGATAAAAGAAGATATTTTAATTGAATTCACGGGGATTGAGTATTTATGCTGGTTAAATTCGAAGGCAACGTTGAAGTCGGTTGAAGTGTCGATATGTGTACTGTTAATTATTGTTATAGTGTAAAGCACTGTGATGGGATTGATAGATAACACATCAATGATGCCGTTAAAATATTAGATGATTTTCCTGATGTGTATTGGTGGTTGGTAAAGTAGTATGTTAGAAAGAATTTTTAAATATTCGAATTTTTTAAATTTTAAACTCTTTAATTTGAGGATTTGAGAATTTGAGGATTTGAGGATTTGAGAATTTGAGAGTTTGAGAGTTTGAGAGTTTGAGAGTTTGAGAGTTTGAGAGTTTGAGGATTTGAGGATTTGAGAGTTTGAGAGTGTACTGTTAATTATTGTTGCAGTGTAAACTGTTATGGGATTGATAGATAACACATCAATGATGCCGTTAAAATATTAGATAATTTTCCCGAGTGTTCAATTTGCCGATCAGACCGTTTGTTTAGGTATGATCTAAGTATATCGTACTTTCCATTCATGTGAACATCCCCTAATAATGCACACTTCGATGCACCCCTAATTGTTCTAAAAATCTTCTTAAGTGTATAAATTAATTCGTTGCATTGGAATTTCCCCCAGACCGTGGATCTTCGTAGTCCACCGTTTTATAGATAGACTCGCAACAGGAATTCCGCGTAAATTTACTTTCACCATTAATCAGTTCGACTACAGGAGAACAACGCTGGAATATTATGTTAAATGTTGCCGAAGTTGTTCGAAGTTGTTCAGTTGTGAAAAAGAGGGAACGCCGGCGCACGATTGTCGCATGAAAATCAAACGCAGACGCGAAAGGGGCTCGCAGAATAATTTCGAGTGACCCATAAATAAAATTCCATCCACACGTGAAACCGTGATCCATAAATAAAATTCGGATCATCTTTAAAAAGCCACCGAACCAATTTGCACACCTAATGCCCATTCACATCGCCGATATTAGAGCGACAGTTTGATGCATTCGTTGCAGCCTCGATAGTTTCAAATTCGATATTTAATGAAAAATTTAGAACACCCTGATTTTATATCGTCCTCGATAAAATACTTCGCGAACGCGCGGAATATTCCGTTAATTCTAATGCTGATTATAACTGTCACACTTTCTTTACACAACAATCATGCTCACACTCTTCTTACGAAATCGTAAAAATTTTAATCAAACTGACGAAACTCAACGTGCAGCTTCTTTAAAATCTAAAAAAAACGTTGTTACACACAATTTCTATTGTATACATTTTACAATGATTTCATTATTGAATCGAATGTCGAATAGAGATGCAAAGATTGACAACGGTACACTGAACAAAATCGAATTTTCTTAATATTATCCACAAGTATCACCGGAAAATACTTTCCACGCTCCAAGTATATACTCACCTTAGATTCATCTGCAGTGAACAGCCCCTGCGAACGAACCACGCACCCTGACCAACCCCAACGCCGATCCACCGACGCCTAGCTCGCCGTTTACCTCCAAGTTCACCGTCGATTTATTTATAAACACCGGTAACCCGCTCGTCGACGTGTCCTCCGATAAACAAACAATCCTCCTCCCCCCTCGTCGGTGACCATAGGGGATGACAGGTGGAGGATCGATGGCGAACAGGGTCCGGCTGCCCCATTAATCCCGTGACCGACAAAAATCGCTCGCGTCCTGCGCAGCCGAAGGACCCCGAAGTATTTCGAATCGAAAGTCTCGAATGATTCGATAAATATTACAAGTTTTGAATAATTTCTGAGACTTAAAAATCTCGAATGATTCGATAAATATTGCAAGTCTTGAATAATTTCTAAGACTCAAAAATCTTGAATGATTCAAAGAATGCAAGTCTTGGATAATTTCTAAGACTTAAAAATCTTGAATGATTCCACGAACGTTGCAAATCTTGAATAATTTCTAAGATTTAAAAATCTTGAATGATTCGACAACTTAAAAGCATTGAGTAATTCGACACGCTTTAAACATCTTGAGTGATTCAACCGACCATGAAAGTTCCGAAGAATTCAGACTTCGAAAGTCTCGAATGAATCGACAGGTCTTCGAACTCTTCAATTATTCGAACTCTTGTTTACACTTATGCAACTCCCGCGAACTTATCACGAATGTCCAATCACAAAATACGGAGGAACGTAAGATTGAATATCTTCGAATCGATTCGAAGTTGAGACTCGAATGTGCATCGCTGCTCATTAGTCCTAGAAGCAGGATGCATTCGTCGTTCTAGCGATAACGATGATCCAGGTTGCCGTCACCGCTGACTAAGTCCGACGAGCATCGATCTTCAGAGTGGGGAGAATCGTATCGAGGGAGGGAAGGTCAGAGCTCAAACGGGCAGGTGGCTGAACGCGTTTATATAGAGGATAGGTCTGCCTATCCGCGCATCATCCATTACCGCGTGACGATTCGTTTTCGCTCGACGCGTCGTGTACACCGCGGATCGCATCGCGTCCAACGATCGAGCAACTTCGGTGATCGCAGGGATCGCAGGGAACCGTCCTCTCTTCGTGATCAACGAGACTGACCGGTGAGTGGGACTACTGTGGACTATTCTACACCTTCCGATACTATCGGAAAAAGTGAAAATCTGTGTGGAAGGCTGAAGAAAGATGAACTTCGATGTTCTCTTCATAGGGAATTGTCACTAGAAAATCATTGAGACTATTGGAATATTTGTTTCTGTGCAAAGAAGAGAGGGAACTGTGTAAAAGGGTGAAGGAAGAGATCGCTAGGAAATTTTTGATATTTTTCGAATTTTCTCGTGCAAAGGGAGATAATTGTGTGAAGGGTTGAATGTAGATGATCCCTTGTGTAGTATATCGATAAGGGATCGTTAGAGAATTTGTCAAATTTCTGGAATTTTCGTTTGGTGCGTTTTAGTAAAATTTCGGCGCGAAGCTGTCAGTGGCGCCTGGTACTGTGAACGGTCGTGGTGAACGGGTTCGATGAACGAGTGAAGGGTGAAGTTCGAAGGTGGGACGGTCCGACGCGTTCGCAGTTTGGCTGCTGATTCGTAACGATCGATTTCCCTCTCCGTGCGGTGCATCCACGATGTTTAATTTTAGGGGAACGGTTGAATCGCCTATGGACTTGTTGCATCGGCCGCCTCGCGTGGACCCGGGACATGTGAAAATGAGTCACATGTGAGTCAATGGACCGTGAACGCGTTAATTCGTTTTTCACGGTGTTTAGCGGACGATTGTTTCCTCTTTTCCTTCGGGTGGGGGCGGGTCGACGAACTTCGTGTGCATGATGCTTCGGTAATTGTGCGAGATTTCAACTTGTTGCGCGCGATCGTGACGTTGATTTCCGGCTTCCAGTAGGATTTGAGAGTTCGTTGGATTCTCTGGGTGGCCTGGATTCCTTGGAGTCAGTGAATTCTTCGAATTCTTTAGATTCTGTGGATTCTTCTAATTTCTTGGACTTTTCAGATTCGATGGATGCTTTAGTATCTTTGGGTTCTTCAGACTCTTTCAGGTCTTTAGTCTCTTTGGACTCTGAATTCTTTAGTCTCTTTGAACTCCTGTTGAATTCTTTGAATTCCTTGGACTCCCTAGATTCTCTGAATTTCTTGGACTCCATAAGCTCTTTAGTCTCTTCGGACTCCTGTTGAATTCTTTGAACTCCTTGGACTCCCTGGATTCTCTGAATTTCTTGGACTCTTTAAATTCTTACTCTCTTCGGACTCCTATTGAATTCTTCGAATTCCTTGGACTCCCTAGATTCTCTGAATTCCTTGGACACTATAAATTCTTATTCTCTTCGGACTCCTGTTGAATTCTTCGAATTCCTTGGACTCTCTATATTCTCTGAATTCCTTGGGCTCCCTAGATTCTCTGAATTCCTTGGACTCTATAAGTTCTTTAGCCTCTTCGGACTCCTGGTGAATTCTTTGAATTCCTTGGACTCCCTAGATTCTCTGAATTCCTTGGGCTCCCTAGATTCTCTGAATCCCTTGGACTCTAAGTTCTTCAGTCTCTTCGTTTCTTCGAGTCCTTTAGCCTCTTTGTCCTCCCATTGGACTCTTCGAATTTCCTGGACTCTAGACCTCTGAATTCCCTGTACTCTGCATTCTCTGAATCTACAAGAACTCTTCATTCGCTAAACACACTACTCGTTCCAATACACCTTCAACACGCACGCCATACTACATAACACCCAGAATCAACTTCGAAAGCAAAGTACCAAATTTCTTCCATCCAATGCCCACGACAATGACCACGCGTCAAGTTACATTCCCAAGACTCGAGGAACCAACTTGTCAACGAAACGAGTCACATAACATTCGAATCCCTTATCCCATTTGCCGCGAAAATTCTAGAAAGCACCTCGGATCCCCGTGCTCCCCGTCGTCCACATCAATTTCCCGTGGCAGCATATTCGACCTCGCCACTCCATCCCCCACTCGTCCGCCTAATCCCTTTCCGTCTATCATCGGGCCACCCAATTCCAGGCGGCGTCGAGCGAAACGACTGCTCTCGAGTTCCCCACTCTCCTCCGCTCCTAATCCATCAAATCGAATCGTTCCTACGGAAAAGGGAAATCCCGCCCGTCAATTTTTCATTACGACTGTTTAATCAGAAAAACCGTTCCAATCCACTCGAACCTCCTCGCGTTCTCGGATCGATACAGCCTCGCCGAGAAAAGCCTCCGTTCCGCGTTCGCGGAATTCCCGGCGATCGTCGCGCAAACACGAAACGTTAGAAGTGACACGTAATTTCGCAGCTTCTCGCAGGACTCGTAAACAATATTCGTTTCCTGAACTTCGTACGGGTACGCTCCGCGCTTGCACGCTCGCCTCTCTTCTTTTATGTAACGTTATTCATTCTGCTTGCGCAATTCCAAGGAAACATCGCGATAACGTTTAAATATACTTCCAACTGCGCAACGCATCTCAAATGTTATACTTTCGATAATGGTATTCCGACGCGGATGAAGCTGCATCGTTGCGCTCGTCCCTCGAGAGGAAAATTCCTGCGCTAAGAAAACTTACGCTCTCTTCGTCCGAGCACCTTCTCGAGTCTCCAACTCAAATAGAATCCATAAACTGGAATTTCGATTTCTTCGATTCTCCAGAAATAGACGCCTCGGTTCTCACAGGATCCCCCGATGCGTGCAAAAACCTCAACGTTCCAAAAAGAATATCGATGGAACAAGCATACTCCATCCGCCGCTTTTAAAGGTCTGACGCAAAAGTTCTCCGGCAAAGAGACAACTTGGACCGTCACCGGTGGATTCGAATTGCGCTGTTTTCCCCGTCGGCTCGACAATTCCCCCGGCGACCGAACGTTTCCACTTGGCGCGTGTTTTGAAAGCCGAATCCGGCTGGCAAACAATATAACGCGCGCGCGCGTCACGCAGCCCGGCCGGCCGGCCGCTCCGGGCCGTTCACGGAAAACCGTGTCCAGATTCGCCTTTTCGACCCTGAAAGGTGAACCTGCCGGAGCGTATAAGAGCGGCCCGCGGGCCCCGGGCCCGTCGCATTTTCGTCCGTTTTTCGATCGGACGAACGTCGCCGCGCTACGGCGGGACCACTCGCCACCAATCGCCGCGCCGCCATCTTGTCGTGCCGAACGGAGTTTCTCGAACCTCAGGGTTTCAAACTACGGAACTCTCGAGACCTTAGAATCCGTCAGTTTCTAACGGAAGTTCGGTAATCGTGTAAATGACAAGCAGATGAACGAAGTAGATAAGCTAAGTAAATTGTCGTAAATAAAAATCGTGTTGATCAGTGCTAGCTAATCGTCGAGTGGGTGATCCGAGTAATCGGTCGGACGGATTTTTTTCCATTTTTTTTTCGACCGACGCACACGAGCATCGAGGAGATCGTCGCCATGTCGATCATACAACGTGAGTAAGAGGGCAGCTTGGTTTTTCAGGCCACGCAGATCGATTTGATTTTTGTATTCGATGGACGATATCGGAGTGATTTGTTGGATACGTGGATATTGTGAGAGGAAATTGACCTCGAATGAGGAATATGGAAGTTTTGATGAATTGAGATTTATTAGAATCGATGATTGACCGATCGTTGAGCGTGGGAATGAAGTGAAATCGAATGAAATAAAGTCATTGGGTTTGGTGATTCTCTTTTCGATTTGTAACAGATCGTTTTGAAAGGTTTGAGGTTTTAATCGTTGCTTGTTTCGACGTTACTTATGTGTTATTTTTGGCATCGGTTGCAGTAATTAGTAGTAATTTTGTAATTACCTCTGTAGTCCCATTCTTATGCTACGAGTATCGAATTTGGAATTTTAACTTTGATTAAAAATTCTGTCTGTCAAGGATCTAATTTATCTATACTCTAGAATTCAAATTTCTTTACTTCGCGAAGAAATCGATATCTCTCCTTTCCCTTTTCTTCCCTAGCCAAATTGAACGATACAATTGAAAACTGGAACTACCGTATCAGTCAAGATGATTGGTTTCGATTTTTTTGTTCCGCAATTATTAATATCTTAAAAGCATTCCATAATTGAAATGATCTTGAAAATAAATAATTTCATTTGAATACTATAACGAATGCCTGAAGAAACTGAAAATAATCTATTGTTACAGTTCGTTTAGGAATTGCATATTAATTAAATGCTCGGTAGTTCCAGTGTTAATTCCAGCGTCTATGTAAAATCTCTGTCGCACTATCCGTAACGATTACGAAAATGTCGACAAGGACAATTGGTTTCATCGAGTTCCCAGGTGCTTCGTTCCCCGAAGTATCCATTTCCATTAGAACAAACACGGATTTAACTTCTTCGCGCAGTCTCCGCGCTAATTGAACCTGCAGATACATTGCTTCATTAGTTACTTTTCTATCAGTTGTATTCCTTTTCATTTTCCTTTAACACTTTGACTGCCACGTCACCCGAATTCGACATTATTTTTTACAGAGACTTGGACATTGATTCTTTTGATGACGCACCACAAACCGAATTTTGTTGGATACATGAAATATAGGAAAGATACTGGAGCAATTATTAAGAAGAATTTTAATTTCTCAGTTCCTGGTTAGTGAAAAAAACTGTCACGAGTAGTTTTGATGAGTGTTTACGTGGCAGACAACACTCGAAACTTCATTACACGTTACACATTTGATATTCGTATTAGTGCCATTAATTACATTATCATCTATTTCCATCGAAGAATCCTTTAAATGTCATCGATCACGTTTGACACCTGTAAGAGTCATTTAATTAATTATTTCCTTTTTCAATCGATTCGAAAATATCCTCATTACCTTCCGCGGCACTAATTAGATGCAATCGTGACCGGCAGATCTGTATTTACGCAGAGAGGAGACAAAAACGGAAGGAGCCCGTAAGATGAGGAAGCACGTGCAAATCTCACTTCGTCTGGCTTTTTTTTTTGTTTTC